GACAGGGTGCGGGGGTCCTCCGAGGGTCGTCGGGGGTTCTGAGGTCTGGTGCTCGCGGCCCTCGAGCCCCGGAGCGGGACACATAGAACAAGTCAACTTCTTCAAAGTGAAAATGTGATCTTGCAAACATGTGCAGGTTTGTATTCATCACACACAAAAAAACCTTTATTGGCATGCATCACTTACACTTGGCTATTCAAGCCTCGTCTTCTGATTGCATATAAAATTTTTGCAACAGCCTCCATTATTTCACAATTTGTATTCATCATTGGCAGACCAGTTGCACACATCAAGAGATGAGTTTGAGAGATTTGAATCACTTGCAAAGGACATGTTCCCTGATGTGGAATACAAAGCAACTCAAACACATAAGCATATAAGAAAGATAATGCCCAATGATGGAAATGCACCAGAGGTCACTCAGTGCCAGAGACAAATTCCGTATCTCCACTTTTTATGTAATTATTGAAAAGTTAGAAACGGAAATGAGGAGGAGACGAAAGGTGTACACTGAAATAGCAGACAGATTCTCTTGTCTGACAGATGTTCCTAATGCCACCCAACAAGGTGCTAATTCCCAATTATCAGAAAGTGAAAGGTACTCAAAGACTTGTCAGACACTCATTGATGCTTATCCAGATGAAATGAACAACACTTTGTCTACAGAGCTTCAGCAGTTTCATTCATATGTTCTTCATAAGTTTAAAACATCCTAGGAGTCCAAAGTTTTGGATTATTGTTGAAATCTTCCAAAAATTTAAATGACTATCTGTCTTCTATCCTACAGGAATACTCAATTCCAGATGACCTAATGGGTTTAGCGGACAATGATAATCAAAAGTCCAAATTGAAGGAATGGGTATTTCATAAGGATGGCCTTTTGAACCTTCATGCAGTGGCAAGTTGCCGAACGGCCCCTCTGCTTAAGATCTTTAAAAGAGATCACTGTAGGACTGGCTATTTAGAGAAATTAACCAATCTTGACCTAAGAAGGGCATTTACAGCCCTCAGATTCCATGCCATTCCTTCAATGGTCTGTGTTGGTCATTTTATGGGTTTACCTCTTGCCTTAAGAATCT